CATCTTGTTGATATCTCTATGCTAAATGCTTATAACATATACAAGTTGAAGACCAACAAAACACCAAAATATGGTGAATTTAGCCTGTCAGTAATCAGACAAATAATTGCAAAGTACCAAGGAGCAACTCCTGCAATAGACCAGCGCCCACAGATGTCATCTCGTATGAGGCCTGGTGATCACTACCCCATACAACTGCCTCCTACTACTGCCAAGAAAAATGCTCAGAAGAGGTGTTATGTATGTATGCATACCACAAAACGCCCACAAACATGCAGAGACACTCGTTTTATGTGTGAGGAGTGTGAAGTGCCCCTCTGCATATACCCATGTTTCAAAGAGTTTCACAAGCTGCAGCAGTTCTAGGAACGTGGTTAGTGACTGTACATATGTATATATATTATGGAACAATAGTAATAAACATTGTTTTGTATTGTTTGTTTGTGTAAACAAAGTGCATAAACAAACTAATAGTGATAAAGTTTGTTCTGTTATTGTGTTGTAAATAATGAGTGTATATTTGAACAATGCACCTTACATTGGTCTCACAGGCCACATAAGTTACCTGGAAAAGAAAAATATTGAAAAATGCAAGAAACCTTTGAATTAAAGTAAATAAAAGAATACCGGGTGGGCGGCAGTCGCCACTGTTGCCGTACGCACGTCAATTTCTGCAAATTTTGTGGCTCTATATCTCGGTAAGTACTGATGGCAAAAATTTTTTTTTAGGCTTAAAACACTAGTAAAAATATTCCTAACATTTTCATAAGAAAAAATAATTTTTTTTTTCGAATATTTGGCGACAAAGAATGACAGTTTCAGAGAGGGGCCTGAAACAGTCAAAGGGTTAAAGTAAAGGTTGGATGCGAGAAGTGGGTCATAATAAGCGTGTATGCACCTGGAGAAGAGAGGAATGCAGAGGAGAGAGAGAGATTTTGGGAGATGTTAAGTGAATGTATAGGAGCCTTTGAACCAAGTGAGAGAGTAATTGTGGTAGGGGACCTGAATGCTAAAGTAGGAGAAACTTTTAGAGAGGGTGTGGTAGGTAAGTTTGGGGTGCCAGGTGTAAATGATAATGGGAGCCCTTTGATTGAACTTTGTATAGAAAGGGGTTTAGTTATAGGTAATACATATTTTAAGAAAAAGAGGACAAATAAGTATACAAGATATGATGTAGGGCAAAATGACAGTAGTTTGTTGGATTATGTATTGGTAGATAAAAGACTGTTGAGTAGACTTCAGGATGTACATGTTTATAGAGGGGCCACAGATATATCAGATCACTTTCTAGTTGTAGCTACACTGAGAGTAAAAGGTAGATGGGATACAAAGGAGAATAGAAGCATCAGGGAAGAGAGAGGTGAAGGGTTTTTAAACTAAAAGAGGAGGCAGTTAGGGTAAGATATAAACAGCTATTGGAGGATAGATGGGCTAATGAGAGCATAGGCAATGGGGTCGAAGAGGTATGGGGTAGGTTTAAAAATGTAGTGTTTAGAGTGTTCAGCAGAAGTTTGTGGTTACAGGAAACTGGGTGCGGGAGGGAAGAGGAGCGATTGGTGAAATGATGATGTAAAGAGAGTAGTAAGGGAGAAAAAGTTAGCATATGAGAAGTTTTTACAAAGTAGAAGTGATGCAAGGAGGGAAGAGTATATGGAGAAAAAGAGAGAGGTTAAGAGAGTGGTGAAGCAATGTAAAAAGAGAGCAAATGAGAGAGTGGGTGAGATGTTATCAACAAATTTTGTTGAAAATAAGAAAAGTTTTGGAGTGAGAAATTAATAAGTTAAGAAAGCCTAGAGAACAAATGGATTTGTCAGTTAAAAATAGGAGAGGAGAGTTATTAAATGGAGGTATTGGGAAGATGGAGGGAATATTTTGAGGAATTGTTAAATGTTGTTGAAGACAGGGAAGCTGTGATTTCGTGTATAGGGCAAGGAGGAATAACATCTTGTAGGAGTGAGGAAGAGCCAAGTTGTGAGTGTGGGGAAGTTTGTGAGCAGTAGGTAAAATAAAAGGGGGGTAAGGCAGCCGGGATTGATGGGATAAAGATAGAAATGTTAAAAGCAGGTGGGGATATAGTTTTGGAGTGGTTGGTGCAATTATTTAATAAATGTATGGAAGGGGTAAGGTACCTAGGGTTTGGGCAGAGAGCATGAAAGTTCCTTTTTTAAAAAGGGCAAAGGGGATAAAAGAGAGTGCAAAAAAATTATAGGGGGATAAGTCTGCTGAGTATACCTGGTTAAAGTGTATGGTAGAGTTATTATTGAAAGAATTAAGAGTAAGATGGAGAATAGGATAGCAGATGAACAAGGAGGCTTTAGGAAAGGTAGGGGGTGTGTGGACCAGGTGTTTACAGTGAAACATATAAGTGAACAGTATTTAGATAAGGCTAAAAGAGGTCTTTGTGGCATTTATTAGATTTGGAAAAGGCGTATGACAGGGTGGATAGGGGGGGAATGTGGCAGATGTTGCAAGTGTATGGTGTAGGAGGTAGGTTACTGAAAGCAGTGAAGAGCTTTTAAAGAGGATAGTGAGGCTCAAGTTAGAGTATGCAGGAAAGGGGGAAATTATTTCCCAGTAAAAGTAGGCCTTAGACAAGGATGTGTGATGTCACCGTGGTTGTTTAATATATTTATAGATGGGGTTGTAAGAGAAGTAAATGCGAGGGTCTTGGCAAGAGGCGTGGAGTTAAAAGATAAAGAATCACACTCAAAGTGGGAGTTGTCGCAGCTGCTCTTTGCTGATGACACTGTGCTCTTGGGAGATTCTGAAGAGAAGTTGCAGAGATTGGTGGATGAATTTGGTAGGGTGTGCAAAAGAAGAAAATTAAAGATGAATACAGGAATGAGTAAGGTTATGAGGATAACAAAAAGATTGAATATCAGATTGGAGGGAGAGAGTATGGAGGAGGTGAATGTATTCAGATATTTGGGAGTGGACGTGTCAGCGGATGGGTCTATGAAAGATGAGGTGAATCATAGAATTGATGAGGGGAAAAGAGTGAGTGGTGCACTTAGGAGTCTGTGGAGACAAAGAACTTTGTCCTTGGAGGCAAAGAGGGGAATGTATGAGAGTATAGTTTTACCAACGCTCTTATATGGGTGTGAAGCATGGGTGATGAATGTTGCAGCGAGGAGAAGGCTGGAGGCAGTGGAGATGTCATGTCTTAGAGCAATGTGTGGTGTGAATATAATGCAGAGAATTCATAGTCTGGAAGTTAGGAGGAGGTGCGGGATTACCAAAACTGTTGTCCAGAGGGCTGAGGAAGGGTTGCTGAGGTGGTTCGGACATGTAGAGAGAATGGAGCGAAACAGAATGACTTCAAGAGTGTATCAGTCTGTAGTGGAAGGAAGGCGGGGTAGGGGTCGGCCTAGGAAAGGTTGGAGAGAGGGGGTAAAGGAGGTTTTGTGTGCGAGGGGCTTGGACTTCCAGCAGGCATGCGTGAGTGTGTTTGATAGGAGTGAATGGAGACAAATGGTTTTTAATACTTGATGTGCTGTTGGAGTGTGAGCAAAGTAACATTTATGAAGGGGTTCAGGGAAACCGGCAGGCCGGACTTGAGTCCTAAAGATGGGAAGTGCAGTGCCTGCACTCTGAAGGAGGGGTGTTAATGTTGCAGTTTAAAAACTGTAGTGTAAAGCACCCTTCTGGCAAGACAGTGATGGAGTGAATGATGGTGAAAGTTTTTCTTTTTCGGGCCACCCTGCCTTGGTGGGAATCGGCCAGTGTGATAATAAAAAAAAAAAAAATAATTTACATCAAAAATGGTGGCTCGTAAGACGTATATATACAACCAAAACAATCAAAGGGTTAATGCCCAGTATGGCTGTTATTAGCTGTGCAACAGGACACTGTCTGTACCCGTCAAACTTAGACATTTCATATTAACTGTGTCAAAAAAACAATTACTGACCTATCGTTTTCTTTTTAACCCTTTGACTGTCGAAGGGCCAAATCCTGAAGTTGCCTTCTGGTGTCGCAAAATTTTCGAAAAAAAAAAAAATTATTTTTTCTTATGAAATGATAGAGAATCTTTTCCCGATTGTAAAGACACCAAAAAAACGAAATTTGATGGAAAACTGACGGAATTACGCTCTCGCGAAGTTAGCGACTTCGGCGATATTTAAAGATCGGCAATTTCGCCCACTTTGAGCCCTATTTTCGGCTAATTCCATTATTCCAGTCAACCAAACTCATAACTATTTCTTCAGAACTCTATTTTTTCTATCGATTGAGTACAAGAAACTGCCCATTTACCGATTTCAACTACCCAATAACATGGTCAGAAATTTGCAATTTGGCCAATTTCACGAAAATTAAAAAATACGACAATTTCAAAATAAGGTCCAGAATGAACAATGCAGACATTCCTGGCTCTAAAATAACATTTTTCTTTGTTCATCAGTCATGTCTCCAGGTCCCTGTGATATTACTCTTGCTTTTTATTTTGAAATTTTATTCAAACAAAAAATAGAAGATTTACTGTTATGCAGACTACTGCAATACTGTATAATTGTAAAAATTACATCAACCCATTCATGACTGCGTATTAGAATGGCTATTTGGACATTTATTGGACAATGACATCATTTGTTTACTTTTGAACATTGGCAAAAATCAAACATTTCTGTACTTTGTGCTCCATTTCCAGGTTCTTTTTATAGTAAAATTAATCAAAATCACCTCCATTTCTATAATATAGTTTCCATTCTATCAAATGAGACCAAGAAAACGAGAATACAACCACAAATACTATACGAAAATAGACCACAAAGTCGGCATTTTAATTAAAAAAAACGGTCGGAGTTTTTTTTTTCTCATTATGCACTGCGTGCTCCAGGATTTTTTTTATGTGGTGCACACTGACCACACAGACTCATTCTCTCACATGTGGGCCTACTAGCTTTCTCCTGCCTGATTTGAAGCCGCTAGAATTTATGAGTATATATACGTCAAACACGGTACCTCGCAAACGTATATATACGGCCGCGACAGTCAAAGGGTTAATGAAGACATACTTGAGACTGACCTTCCCACATGTTTAGGTATGAAGTAAATAATGTTTATGTACCTTCAGTTAACTATTTGTACCATAGGCAGTTCCATGGGTTATTGTTCCCACAACCCAGTGTCAAACTGTGCCTGTATGTACTTTTATTAACTCGTTCAGGGTCCAGAGGCCAAATTTCAGAGTGTGCATCAGTGTCCAAGAATTTTCAAAAAATAATTTTCTTATTTTTTCTTATGAAATGGTAAAGAATCTTTTTCTGAAGGTAATAAAACAAAAAGTACGAAATTTGATGGAAAATTTATGAAATTATGCTCTCGCGAATTTTGATGTGTCAGCGATATTTACGCACTGGCGATTTTGCCGACTTTGACTCCTATTTTAGGCCAATTACATTATTCCAGTTGACCAAATTCTTAGCTATTTCACTAGTATTACTTCTATTCTATCGATTGAGCACAAGAAATTGCCAAGTCAACTGTTTCAACTACAAAATAGTGATCGAATATTGGTAATTTGGCCAATTTAATGCAAAGTTCAAAATATTCCAATTTCAAAATAGGGTCCAGAATAAACAATGCAAGCATTCCTGGCACATTTCCTCTGTTCATTATTTATGTTTTCAGGTTTTACAAATGAATTCCATTTTGATTTTTTATTCACATAATGAATTTTTATTCAAACAAAAAAATAGAAGATTTACTGTTATGCAATATTGTAATAATTGTATAAATAATATCACCACATTTGTGAACGTATATTAGACCCACCAGCTGGCGTGTATTAGACGTGTGAGGTCACTTGTCTACTCTTGAACATCGGCAAAAATTTAACATTTCTGCTACTTTGAGCTCAGTTTCAAGCCATTTCCAGTACTAAAACCAATCAAAATCATGTCTATTTCTGTAATATATCTTCCATTCTATCAAATGAGACCAAGAAATCGCAAATACAAGTATAAAAAACATACAAAAAAACACTGCAAATTCGCTGTTTTAATAAAAAATTATGGTCTCGTTTTTTTTTCTCATTATGCACTGTGCTGCATTATTTTTTTTATGCGGTGCACACATACCACATAGATGTATTCTCTCATATCTAGGCCCAAATTTACCACTCACAGCTTATCAGAGTGAGCTGAGCTCATGGCGTAGATCTACAGTTTGGACCCTCAACGTAGAGCTGTAGATCTACGGCACGGACCCTGAAAGGGTTAACCTAAATCTTAGAATTATGTAGTGATGATGGAATTTCCATAATATCTGGCTGAATATCATTAATCTTTTTATGTCTGTTGATGTCACACAGACTCCGAAGAAGACATGAGCATCCTTTTGTGGGCAAGGTAATAAGGTAAGATTGTAGAAGGGAATTTGGATAGTCACTTTAGTAAAGAAGGTAAATTCCTGCTAAATGGCAAGTGTGAATGAGGCAGTAATAGAATGGAGGAGGAGAAAGATGATAGAATTAAAGAACAATAGAATGAAGATACAATGGAGGAGAGGATATACAAGAGCAGGATAGAATATGGAAGAAATTTGAAGATAAAATCAAGGAGGATAATATTACTGTGAACAACAGGAAAAATATTTAAAGTGGTAAGGTCTTTAACTTCCAGAAGGCAAGAGCAAGCATGTTTGATTGGAAATACAATAAGAAAGTTTTAAAATTTCACATGCTATTGTAGCGTGAGCGAGGTAACACCTGCAAAGAAATTCTGGTAAACCAGTTAGTTAAATTTGAATTCTGGAGGTGGAAACTACAGTGCCTGCACTTTGAAGGATGAATAGGAATGTTTCAGTACAGAGGGTTATTTGAAATGTGATGAGTAAGTGCTGGTGAATATGTTTCCTCCTTTGTGCCACTCTACCTTGGTGGGAAGTTGCTAAGGTTGCCAAAAAAAAAAAAGTAACGAAGAACAATTGACAGAAAATAGTGAACAGACACTGACTCCAAGTTTTCAATTTTCCTTGTCTAGCACACATTTCTAAATTTACAGAAGCCTAATAGCAAAAATATTAGTTTTTTTAACACAATGGCCAGTTTTCGTCAAGACAGCAATCCAGAGAAGCAAACACATTTAATCTAGAATTTATATATAAAAAATTTAATGTTAAGAAAAGAATGTGAAGGTTATTACTTTTCTTGATAGACAAGATTACCAGAAAGTCTCCAACTTGGATATGGAGTACATGTCCCCTAAACCTCTAACCTGGATCTGGGGTGTCTCTTAAATCTTTACTCCAGATCTGGGGTATGTGCTCCCTAGACCTCCACTCTGATTCTGCTGAATCAATGAGTAATTTTATCTTTGGCTCAGCTTTTCTTTCATAGAGTCAAGATTATGCTCAATAGCTTTATGTATAAACTCAATGTGTGGTTGTTCTGCTTCACTTGCAATGTGGCTCTGGGCACAGGTTTTCAGGGCTGTTTGTAGTAGATTTGCTAGTTGGTGAGACTGTAAAAATATAAAATTATTTAAATTTACACATTTTTGTAAAATCAAGAATATATAATGTTTAGTACTGTGCATGTATATGGTGCAACAACATATGCATCAGGCATCAAATAACTACCAAGAATGGAACAGCAGACAATGAGTTGAAAATTAGCACTTACGATGGTGGAAATCTGTATGCTATATTACTTATATCTAAATAAACAGAATTTATATTATGTTGTAACTAAACAATTTGTATAAGTTGAAATTATTACTATAAGTAACTAACCTATCAATCTGAGGACCTGCTATTAGATCATATATAACAGCTAATACAGTGGACCCCCGCTTAACGATCACCTCCAAATGCGACCAATTATGTAAGTGTATTTATGTAAGTGCGTTTGTACGTGTATGTTTGGGGGTCTGAAATGGACTAATCTACTTCACAATATTCCTTATGGGAAAAAATTCGGTCAGTACTGGCACCTGAACATACTACTGGAATGAAAAAAGTTCGTTAACCGGGGGTCCACTGTACTATAGCATTATTTTATAAAACGGTACAAGAAACTACTAATAAATACTATAAATATAAAATTCAAAGCATAACCAAGGATGATTAGTAAACTCAATTTAACCCTTTGACTGTTTCCGACGTATAAATACGTCTTACGAGCCAATGTTTCTGACGTATTTATACGCATAAATTCAAGCAGCTTCAAATCAAGCAGGAGAAAGCTGGTAGGCCCACATGTGAGAGAATGGGTCTCCATGGTCAGTGTGCACCATATAAAAAAAATCGGGGAGCGAGTGGTGCATTGTGGGAATGCCATTTCAGTTGTCCTTTTTCAGCATGTCTAGCGGTAAGAAATATGTGATTCCCCAGCAAATCTGGGACTCTTCTCTTCCCAAGTGATGCTCTAACACAGATGGAAGTGTAAGTGAAGGATCAATTTCATGATTTGGAGGAGTTTGAGACCAAAAGCAATGGAGGAGGAGGGGGGGAGGAGGGGGGGAGGGGAGGAAAAAGGGAGGAGGGAGGAGGAGGAGGAGGAGGAGGGAAGGAAGAGGAGGAGGAGGGGGAGGAGGAGGGGGGAGGAGGAGAAGAGGAGGAGGAGGAGGAGGAGGGGAGGAGGAGGAGGAGGAGGAAGAAGATGTAATAATATTGTTCCCTTGAAGCAAGAAAAAAAAAATCCACCCCCTGACAGTGACAAGATTTAAAGGGGGGATAACATTGATAAGAGCTGACTTTGATGAGCGTAAAGGAGGGTAATATTACATGACCATCTCCCTCCTTTGTTTTTGCTGGTACACAAACATTTCTGTCTGTCTATTTGTCTGTCTGTCAAGCTCCCTATCTGTCCATCTAGCTCTCTGTCTCAGAGAGAGCCACAAGACTGTGTCATCACGTTTACTCACATCTTCAAGCAGAGTATAAGCACTTTGTCTGGATTTCTTGGGTTATCCTAGGTAATTTTCACTATGTATACTTGTATTTATGTGTACCTGTGAGACAGAGATAGGCAGACAGATAGAAAGAGAGACAGATTGAAAGATATAGAATGAGGGAGAAAGATAATTAGATAGAATGGAGGAGGGGAAGCAGCATCCGACCCCATTGTTTTGACAGGCGGTAGGGGGAGTGACTAATGAGACAATATGTCACTTTGACAGCTGCCGACTTCTGACTCAAACAAATTATAAGCCACACACTCGCACACAAGACAAGGAGGAGGAGAAGGAGGAGAAGGGGAGGAGGAGGAGGAGGAGAAGGAGAAGGAGAGAAGGAGGAGAAGGAGGAGGAGAAGGAGAAGGAGAAGAAGGAGAAGAAGGAGAAGGAGAAGAAGAAGGAGGAGGAGGAGGAGGAGGAGGAGGAGGAGGAGGAGGAGGAGGAGGAGGAGGATTGTTTGTTTGTTTGTTTGTTTTTGTAAACAAGTTTTGTAAACAATATATTGATAATTATGTTTGTGTGCTTATTGTGTTGTATACAACGAGTGTATATATGTACATTGCACCTTACTTTGGTCTCATAGGCCACATAAGTTATGTGAAAAAATAAAATAGTGAAAAAAACAAAAAACCTTCAATTACAAGTAAACTAAAGTTTACCTGGTGAGCGGCAGTCGCCGCTGTTGCCATACGCGGCTCATTTTCTGCAAACTTCACGGCTCTATATCTCGGTAAGTACTGATGGCAAAAATTTTTTTTTGGACTAAAACACTCAGAAAAATAATCTTAACATTTTCATAAGAAAAAATAATTTTTTTTTTTGAATATTTGGCGACATAGAATGACAGTTTCAGAGAGGGGCCTGAAACAGTCAAAGGGTTAATGGACCAGTAGGGGTGGAGCAAATACCCAGTAGTGGTAATTATGGTGGACAGAGATGAAATTGTTGTGATGCAATCATAACAAAAATGAACAATTCTGTAACCATCGGACTCTGCTTATTGTTTCCAAATCAACTGACATGGTGGATTTTATCTTATACATCAAAGTCCACTAAATTGAGGATTTGCTGTACTAATCTTGAGCCATATGAACTCTGAAGCCACAAGGGAAGTTAAGTAACAGGTCTAGGTCTTTCACCCTCGTTTCAGTGCTTCATGAGAAACTTGCAATATGAGGAAATTGAAAAATGAGGTAGAAAAATCCAGGGATTAACCAGCAGCTATAGCTACAACTCATCAGTTGATCCCTAGAGTTTCCACCTCATTTTTCAATTTCCTCATACTGTAAGCTCCAAACAAAGCACTGGAGAGAGTGTGTGAAAGGCCTAGAGCTGCTACTTAGTCTTGTGGTATTGTTGATATTTACTGATTGCTTGACTGTGATTACAGTTGCATCATAAGAACTCTATAATCTGTAACTTTATTCACAGTGCATTTTCTCCAGTCCATCTCTCTTATAGTATCATTTCCACTGTACATACTAGCAGCTTAAGATGCAGCATCACAAAAATCAAGTACAGAAAAAAACCCAAAGAAATACATGCCTTAAATTAATGGCAAAACTTTTTCATTTAACAAAATGGATTTGTGGCTAAAGAAGAGCACATATTATTGAGACTGAGACTAGTGAAAGTTAGAGATTGAATTGTCTGGTACAACAAATTCATTGATAAAGAATGCTTGTAATAGCAATACACATTTTTAACTCAAACTTTAGGCTTAAAACAATGCTGCAGCATGAGTGTGAAAAAAAATCTGAGGTAAAACTAATAGAACTGGACAATCTGAGAAACAAGCATGTGAAGTTACAGAATCAAAATGAAATAGAAAATGCAGAGTGTATAAATCTGTGGTTTTTAAGATTGAGGAGACTGATGTGACATCCATAGGCATACACCTATTTTGTGGGGACAGAGAGCAAGGCTTTCTCCTCAAGTTACACAACAACATGGATGAGTCAGTGTACATCCTACCTCATTAAGCAAAGCTTAAAAAAATCCTCTGCTTAGACCAAGATCATCAATGGCATAAATGTCATTAAGAGTGAGGATGAATCAGAAAGAAAAACCAGAAGTCATACACCTTCAATTGCAACCCATGGATTTGCAGACTGAACTCCAGCAGTACCTCAGTCATAAAATGGTAAAACATTTGAGGTCCACCACTCTACAGCCTTCATCCAGTACATGGAAGAATATTGTTAGAAGAAAGGTAGAAATTTTCAAGATGAAACATGACTGGAGTAAGTACAGTGGAACCTTGGTTTTCATCATTAATTCGTTCCAGAAAGTCTGAAGAAAACCGAATTTGGCGAAAACTGAAGCAATATTTCTCATAAGAAATAATGTAAATCCAATTAATCCGTTCCAGACACCCAAAAGTATTAACAAAAAATACATATTTTAGAGAATAACTATAGTTTTACATACAGAAAACAATGAGAAATATATATAAAGGACTAATGAAATGGATAAATGAACATTTAACATCACTTTTACCTTTATTGAAGACTTGCTGGCCAAAGGAAGACGGCGAGGAGGGGAGAGGGAGGAGAGGTTATCTCTACCACCATCACTACCACAATCACTACCACCCTCTACCACCCTCTACCACCATCACTACCACCCTCTACCGACGAGAAATAAAGCCAGACTGACTCAGAACACGTGGGATGCTTTGTGTGGGCATGGGCGGACACGTTTGGTACGGCGGACCACTGTCATCTCGATGAAAACTGAGGTGATGAAAGAAAATTGGGACAAAATTTTGACTAAAAAAGTTGTCGAAAACTAAATTTGACAAAAACCAGGGCAAACAAAAACTGAGGTTCCACTGTACTATATCAGCCAGGTTCTGAATGCTATGTAGGCCTATAGGTTACATGCACCAACTGTCTGGTTTATCAGGCAGTCAACAGAGAAGTCTAACCTCAGGCTGGGATGTGACAGTAAAGTTTTCACAATTGGTCACAGGTCAGGTAGCATCACTGGGGTGACCCCTACCCTATACAATATACAGTGGACCCCCGGTTTACGATATTATTTCATTCCAGAAGTATGTTCAGGTGCCAGTACTGACCGAATTTGTTCCCATAAGGAATATTGTGAATTAAATTAATCCATTTCAGACCCCCAAACATACACATACAAACGCACTTACATAAATACACTTACATAATTGGTCGCATTGGGAGCTGATCGTAAAGCGGGGGTCCACTGTATTGGTATTCAGGAAAACAAGGCTATCAATTTGTGACATATATGCACATATAACATCATGTGTGATGTCTGCTGTTCTGCTAACCATACTTACTTCCCAAGATGTTCATAATTAATTAATGATAATCCAACGAACCATACTTAGCTAAATATGTAAAAACCTGATCCATTTAGAATGATGTGAATTTATGTATATTATGTTTAGAAGAACATAAACAAATTGATGAAGAGATAAAAAACTGCAAGAAGTGTGAAAGGGGATATGCTGAAAAAACTGGGATTCAAAGGAGACTTGATGTTATGTTATGTTTTCTTTGTGTGTGTGCTCCTCTTCAAGGGGGGCTCCTTGG